GAAAGAGCCATTTCTCTGTAATAAACTCTCTTTTCCAAAGATGAGTGATTTCTCGATCAGATAGATTTATTATTTTATCCCTTTGTTGTTTCAGCAACATTAAATTTAAATTTGAGTTAAAATATATATTTATAATATTAATAAATGACAAATTAAAAAAGCAGGAACATTTTTTTGTATCGAAAAAATATTGAACGGTGACACCAAAGTATCGAACCGAACCGTGAATTTCGTGTATCGTTGCACCCCTACAAATTATGTAATAAATTCTAATATTTGCACATTAAAACTGCACTAAAGAAAATCCAGATTATCTGGATTTTGATTTCAAAGTGTTTTTAAATGTTTATCGCTATTCCAATATCTGCAGTATGTGTGATGCCAATTAAACAAATGTGCCTGTATAAGTGATTTTGCCTTTTTTTTAAATAGATTTTCATTTTTTTCCTATTTTTAAATTTTTTGTATTTTTGCCTGGAAAATGGGAAATCGGTGAAGTGAATTACTGACAGGTGTGTGCAAACATACATGGAAATACAGCATATAAGGGAAAGCAGTTTGTACAATTTTAATTGGCTTGAAAGTAGATGTGGTACTGACCAAATATTGACCTTTAATCTTAAACACAACCTGAACACTCTTGGTAATTTCTTTAAGTAGTCTCCAGGAATAGTTTTACAGATTTCTTAAAGGGCATTTAAATCTCTGTTTTCGATGTTGGCTGCCTTTCATTCCACTCTCTGTCAAGATGATCCCAGACTACTTCAACACTGTTGATGTCCAGGCTCTGGGGAGGCCAGCTCGTGACTCCACTGTGTGTTTTTCTATCCAGGTATGCTTTTACTGCATTGGTAGTGTGTTGGGGATCATTGAAATGAAGCGTTGCCTCAAATGCTTTCTACGTGGTATTGCATGGTAGGTAAATCTGATGGTACTTTTCTGTTTTCATGACTCCATCAATATTTAAAGCTCTCTAACACCACTGCCTTAAATGCGTCCCCAAACCATGACAGAGCCTCCATCGTATTTTACAGATGGCTGTACACACTTATTGGTTTACCTCTCTCCTGACCTCCTCTGTACATACTGATGATGATTTGAACCAAAAATTTCAAATGTGGATTCGTGAGAGTTTTCATTGATTTTCAATCCAGTTCTGGTGCAGTTTGGCCTCAGCCTTTTCTTCCTGTTTCACTTCCTTAAGAATTGCTTTTTGACAGCCACCCTTCAACTGATGCAATTTCTCATGAGACCTCAGTGAACAGCTGATGTACCAACTTAAGGACGTATCTCTCTGGTCCCGTGTCAGGTCTTTGTCGGATTGTTTTCTATTTCATAAGGACATGACTTTCAGGTACTGTTCATCTACTGTTTTTAAGACTGCCACTCCTTATTTTGTTCTCTACATGTCCAATTTCCTTTTTATTTGTAATGCACACTGCACATCATGCTGGGATTTAACAAGTTTTCATCTAATACTTTTTGGGAATCACTTTGCTGGTGCAAAAATACTACAACACCTGTGAAATGCGTGCGTTATCTTTTGTAGGTTTTGTAGATTCAACTAAAGAAATGTGAGCAGATCATCTGCTAAGCAGCCTGTCATCTGTAGACACAGCGTTGGTTCATTCCTTGAGTTAATTACCTGGTATATTCTTGAATCATTAATGATTATCAAAGAAATTAACAAACAAACATTCTTCTGAAAATGGCCACGACTGAGAATGAGGGAAAAAGCAGCCAATATTCAAAGAAACACTTTGACAAACAGACCTTCAGAAAGCTCAGAGAACTGCTGCTTAAGACCACTTTTGAAAACATTACAAAAAGATCAGGCTCCTTTAAGCAAAATGCAAAAAAACGAGAGGTGGCTCAAGATAAGCGCACAGTGTAGATTAACAAGTATTCATCAGTGATAATGGCTCAGTGTTGACATATTTCTACTGCTGGGGGATAGAAGTGTAGTGATATGCAATATACTGGCTGTCAGGATAGAGGAGGCTATTTTGGGTTGGCCACTCAGAGAAGGCAATAGGAGTCATTAAATTTGACTTGAGTTTTCTTGCAGTCATTTAAAGACAGAGACTGATCACACCAACTGGGTGTTCTGCAGAGATTAAAAAAGGTATGTTTAATATATGTGTATGAGTGATGGTAGTGTGGGTTAGGGGTTTCTTTTTCTATTATGATGTTATTACTGACAGGTGCCTTATTAGATTATGACACACACAAAGCTATCATGAAAAAATGTATAAGAAATATAGTATTTTCACAAGTTCAATATTTATAAGAATACTGGCCACATTTATATCTAATCTTGGGTCACATCAATGTGTTTAAACTAATTTAAGTAATTTCGATGTTAATGTGTCTTTTATTCATTTGCAATACTGAGTAGCAGCTATATACATTTTCTACAAAAATCCATCTTTGTAGATCTATCATTTTAAAAATTAAATTAAACTGATTAAAAGATTTATATTTTTATTCTGATCTGGGTTTTATCAAACGGGACTAAAAAAGGAATATCATTCAAAGTATCTGTGACCCTCAAGCATGCAGTGTTGGCAATTTAAAACTTTTAACTTTCATAACATTTATATTTAAAAAAAAAAAAAAAAGCAGTTCAAGGTCTGGATTACTTTGACTTGTCTCGGTAAAAAGATGTGACAGCATGCGAAGAAGTATAAAAAACAGGCTAGTGAAAATAGTTTACAAAATTGAACCATAGCCTAGAAGCTTGTTAAAAAGTTATAATACTGTGATCATGCATTCATACGCTGCTAATAATGCTTCTCTTACAACCTTTTTACCAAAAGTAGATTTTCTCACTTCAGTATTAATTATTTTACAGACAAAAGTCAACCATGGCTGAAGCGTAAGTGATATTTTTGTTTCCACAGGCATTTAAAAAATATTTTTAACATGTAGAAACAAACTCTTGTTATTTCTTATCCTTTTCCACACCATCATACCCACCACAGATCTGTGAGTTCTTCTAAGTTCTTAACATCTCCAAAGAAGTTAAACATTTGTTTAACATTATTATTTGAAAAAATGTATTTTTGTCTACTTTTTATTTGTAGAGAAAATCAAAGATTTCTGCAGCCCGCAGACTTGCCCTTAAGGTATTTTCTTCTTTGTTTTTACTAAAACAGATGAAATATGCATAGCAAAACTAGAAAGCTGTTCATTCAGGAGTCCATATTAGTTATTTATTATCAGTTATTTGAGTCATTACGTGCATTTTCTACAACTTAGACCAAGCTGCTGAAAACAGCAACTGTGATGTTGGAGGATGAAAAGGAGCAAAAGAAGCTGAAGAGAGAGACGACTTTGAGGGAGAGAGTCCCTCCACTTCAGCTGTCTGGTTTGTCTCTGCAAGACCTTCAGGTATGTGCAGGCCACTGCAGAAGCATCACTGAAATAACACAGTGGAAATGCCCCACACATAAGTAACTCTCTAATGTGTACAGCCATGCATATACACCATTTTCATGTGTGCTGTTTTCTCCATCTTATTTTTGGTAATTTATGACACTGGAATGAGCAGGAATCTTTTTTGCTCATGCTCTTCTGTTTAACAATTTGATATTGTTCTGTTTATGTAGGCTCTGTGCAAAGAACTGCACCAAAAGATTGATGTGGTAGACGAAGAACGGTATGATAGTGAAGTGAAAGTTGCCAAAAACAACAAGGAGGTTTTTCATTCTTTATGACCTTCAGAAATGGCTTTCTTAACATTACATGTTTTACTTGTCCTTTTTTGTCATTATATCTCAAATGTTATCATTATTTAGAAACAGGTTCTGCACAACAGCATAGTTCATTCTTATCATTTTAATGTGTTTCCTGCAGATTGAAAATCTTTCTCAAAAGGTCTTTGACTTAAAAGGAAAAATGAAGCGGCCTGCTCTCAAGAGGGTGAAGATCTCAGCTGACGCCATGTTGGGTGCTCTGCTGGGATCCAAGGTCAAAGAGTCTGTGGACTTTAAGGCAAACCTGAAGACAGTGAAGAAAGAGGAGGAGAAGGTAAGTGCCACAGTCAGTGTGTTAAGATCACTTCAGGTAACTTGACCCCTTGGCTTAAAGAGTTTAATCTGAAATAATGGTTATAATCGAGTTACAACAAGTTGATAGTATTGCTCAAATGATTTCAGGGTTATTTTAGGGAAACATTTCACTAAGAATTATTTTCTTCCTGTAAACAGAAAGAGGAGGTGACTGATTGGCGTAAGAATGTGGAGGCCATGTCTGGTATGGAGGGCAGGAAGAAGCTGTTTGATGCCGGACAATAGATTCACGTTTTGGACAGCACTTAAAATAAAATCTTAATGTCACGGTGCACAATGAGTAACTACAAAGTGTATGTTTTAGTGTCAGTGTGTTAAAAGACTTGCAAAAATATTAATTGGAGTGAAAAAGTATGTTTTGCAAACACACAAATTGCACTTTGTTGAAGTTTTATTTGGTTTGTATGTTCACCACAGTCAGAAAACAGCAGATTTTGCTTTTATTCTTTATCTTAAAATCTCTGTAAAATACTATCATCATCATAATAACAACAACATTAATTATAATAACAATAAACTTCTGATGCAGAAACCTGCCACTGTACTTTTTCTTTTACATCTTTTACGTACTTTTTTTTAAAGCCACAGAAGTTGTTATAGCACATACCGTTGCCACACATCAGCACCTGCAGAGTTGGGGGGAAAAGAGTCTGTTAACTGAGTGAGAAATTGGAGTAAAGCTCTTTTCATTCCGATTTTTAACTATTTCATTCAAATATTACAAAAAAAAAATGATTTGCAAGATGAAAAAACACGCAGGGTTGCAATTTTCCCTAACTCGACAGAAATTTAATGTAGCAAATGCAGTACGATTGTAGATTAGGTGGTGCACGATGGCAAAGATACATAAAACATATTAAATAAAAACTCAAAGAGACAGTGGGAGGATTATTATTATAAACCTCAATAAAAAATCTAACAAAAAGGTCGTTTTAATTCTCACTTTCTACAACTAATGCACTGAGAACCTAAAATGAGGACAGGGAAATATTGTGATTATGGAAAGTAAATAAACATTTTAAGTGTGGTGATCGCAGCAATTCATGCGACCAGCACACTGTCTGCTAGCCTGATATGCACATCATTAGAAAGTGGAAGTAAATGTAAATGTAGAGGTTTTTATTCTGGTCGGCCAGGCAGAGAGAGTTTACGGAAAATATCCCACTGATCACATTATATGAAGTGCAGGATGAAGGATTTTGGAGCTTTTTCTGTGCTAAGGACCACTTTGAACTTTAGTGTACCACTCTCAACGTTACTGTACCACTAAATCAGTGAGATACTACTTCAAAACAAATATTAAGAGTCTAAATATAGCATTTAACTATCTCAGACTTGCACTTCAGCATTCTTATTTAATTGTTTGCTGTCTACCAATCCTTGTGTGAGGATGTGAGTTGCAGCCTTTTGAGTGAACATAACTCCCGGTTACAACACTGACGCAAACTGAACTCTACACTGGCTCAGTTTACCACCAGCCCTGACGAGCACCTGTCCTCATTTCTCTATTCCCCTAAATAAAGCAGGACAAACCTTTGGTGTTGTTCTAACTCCAAGCTGTTCCTGTAATGTGCTATCACAACTTGCAGATGATGTGCACTAAATATACTATTTCTGACTTTTTGCAATGAGATTTTAAAACCCTAATAAAGCAATTATGATGTGTATCAGCTGTGCCCACTAGAAACTACGCTGTAGGAAAGTATTTTCGATAGTGGCACTATAGATGGACACGTTAGTTTGATAAATAAAGCTGCAGAGCAAATACATGACAACACTCTTAGTTGATTTCTCCCTGCTGTTTGACTTCTTAACAGCTGGATCTGATCTGACTCTGGTATAATGTGAATGTGACTGACCTGACATAAGTTTAATAACTTCTTTAAATACTTCCTGTCACATTCACTAACAGGTGGACACCCAAAATTCTGAGCCAAGAAATTAAGTTTAACTGTCTTCTATTCGAAAATTGTAGTGATGCATTGCACAACATTAAATTCTTCTCTTGGTGAACAAACAGTAGCAGCAGCACAGACAAGACTCTATTTTAGACACTTGTTCAGTAGTTAGTCGTTAGTACAACACTATAAAATGGATTGACTGCCTGTCAAATAGTCATTAGTGCTTGTCTGTCTTACTTACAGACTCATGCATGCAGTTTTGAGGTGCATCTAAACGAACTGTCTGGCATCATGTAGGGACAGATTCCTGATCAATATCCAGTGCAGTGGATACACAGTTATTGCTACTACTGTCACTAACATAGAGCACTGTCTTGTCCTTCCATAATGTTATCCACTAAGAGCAAATTAAACACTGTTGTCTTCCATGTATGTCTATCCACCTCTATATTACAACAGAGAAACTGAATAATAAAAAGCTTTGAGTAAAATGCTCAAATTCATTGATCTGCTTTAACAGGACAATTAATGTGTGGGGTGGGTATATAAACATCATATCACCAATACTCAGCATACAGCCCAGCTGTGCTAAACATGCAGAGAATTTACTATATTTGCATCCGTCCCAGCATTACATTTGTAAATATTGTTTACAATATTTAAACATAATAACATAATGTATAGTATCCTATAATGTGAGAAAAGTCATGTTACGTGTAAGAATCATATATAAGAATTATATTTAATATTTTAAATAAGAAATGCATCACTCTTGATGCATTTTTCCCCCATTCAGATTATATTGTTAGCAGGGGGAAAGTGATCAACTGAAGAGGAGAGAGAAGCTGCTCTGACAGAGTTCCTCCTCCAAATCCGTCTGGTAAAACTCTGTTGAACTGCAGAGCTCCTTCAGTGACAGACTGCTGCATCCTAGATGCATGAAGGAGCATTTCCACAGGTCCTTCCTCCCTGAGCTGTCAGACTGTACAATCAAAACTGCTCCCAACAAACATAGATGTTTACATCAGCGCTGTAACAACTTCTGCTGTTATAACTTGCACATTACTTTTCTCAGTTTACATATACACTAACTTATTGGAAGTTACATGCCTACTTTTTAATGCACAGGTACAATACACAATCTGTACTTTTCTGATTATTCTAAATATTGTTAACTGTTACGCCCCAATTAAAAACGAAGTGCTGACTGGGGTGAGGGGTAACACAAAGTGAAAGAGAAAACATGAACTACTGGAGAATAGATGTCATTGAACTTGATTTATTGCTCAAAACTACTACAGTAAAAATAAACACAGGGAAGCTCTTTTCTTCGGGGTCTCCAAGGCCAAAACCCCTACGGTGGCCCCTAGAGACAAAGCACGTACAAACTCCAAAACACTTACAAAATCCAAAACATGTGCAAAATCCAAAACACATGCAAGCTCCAAAACACTTACAAAATAAAAAACACATGCAAAAGACAAAACACGTACAAAATACAAAA